CTGGCAGCGCAACGGCGCCGATTTCTCCGTCTATGTCAACACGGCGCAGGAGTTCGATGGCTCCGACTCGGGCGCGCGGCCGGACGAGGCCGTGTCCTGGGGCAAGATCCGCGTGGATGCCACCCCCGTCAAGGTGGGGGTCCCGGGGGGCTGAGGGGGGATTTGGGGAGCCCGGGCTGGGGGGTTCTGACCCCTCTGGTCTGTGCCAGGTGTACGCCGATGCCTCGCTCGTGTTCCCGCTGCTCGTGGCAGAGACGTTCGCACGGAGCGCCGACGCCTTCCCGGTGCCCGCGGGGACCCCCAAGGCCTGAGGGACCCCCAGTGCCCATGGGGACCCCCGAGGCCTGCAGAGACCCCCGAGGCCCGCATAGACCCCCAAGGCCTGAGGGACCCCTAATGCCCACGGAGACCTCTGGTGCCTTTGGGGACCCCAAGGCCTGAGGGACCCCCGGTGCCTGTGGGGACCCCGGTGCCTGTGGGGACCCCCAGTGTCCATGGGCACCCCTGATGCCCGCATGGACCCCCAAGGCCTGAGGGACCCCTGGTGTCCATGGGGACCCCCAGTGCCTGCAGGGACCCCTGAGGCCTGTGGGGACCCCCAAGGCCTGAGGGACCCCCAAGGCCTGAGGGACCCCCAGTGCCTGTGGGGACCCCCGATGCCCGCATGGACCCCCGAGGCCTGAGTGACACCCGGTTCCCACAGCGACCCCCAAGGCCTGAAGGACCCCCAGTCTCAGCTCTGGGTGTCTGAGCCCCTCGCAGCTCCCACAGCATGGGGGGCACTGTGGCGAGTCCCTTTGGGGGGCCCTCAGGGGTTCCCCCACACCTGCACCCCCCTGTCCGCGTGTCCCCCCTCCCGCGGCGCTCGCGTTTATTTATTCTGGCCCCCAATAAAGCACGGCAGGGTCTCCTCAGGGGGGTTTATTCCTCGTGTGTCCCCTCGGGTGTCAGGGTCCCCCTCGGGCTGGAAGGTGTCCCCACGTGTCCCCTCAGGTGTCGGGGTCCCCCTCGGGCTGGAAGGTGTCCTTGTGTGTCCCCTCAGGTGTTGGGGTCCCCCTCGGGCTGGAAGGTGTCCCCACGTGTCACCTTCAGGTGTCAGGGTCCCCCTCGGGCTGGAAGGTGTCCTTGTGTGTCCCCTCAGGTGTCGGGGTCCCCCTCGGGTTGGAAGGTGTCCCCACGTGTCCCCTCAGGTGTTGGGGTCCCCCTCGGGCTGGAAGGTGTCCCCATGTGTCACCTTCAGGTGTCGGGGTCCCCCTCGGGCTGGAAGGTGTCCTCGCGCCACAGCGTCACCTGGCCCTGGGTGGCCACCAGCAGGCAGGGCAGGCGCGGGTGGAAGGCCAGCGACTGCACCACGCCCT